CCCGGAGTTCAGAAAGCGCTTGGTGCCAGCCACAGTGCCCCTCACCTGAGCCGCAACCCCTCTCTGACACAGGGCCACCTGGCTCGCTGGTGACGGGGGATGGGCGGGTGCTGGCCGCTGCTCAAGGCTGAGAGCAAGGCAGAGGGGGTCCCACCGCCCGCACAGGCCGTGGAGCAGCAGGTGGCCCAGGGGCCAGGCCTGCTGCATCCTCAGAGCCCTCAGACAGGAAGGCAGCTGAGCCCAGCGGCTGGGGGACAGTGCCATCTGCAGGCTGCTCCCTGGCCTCCAGGCTGGACCGCCCCACCAGGCCCCTAACTGTGGCTTCTAGACCTGCCTGCTGGACTGAGCGTCCTTTGTGCTGGTCTTCAGGCCACCTGGCCACGCGTGTCAGCAACACCGGCACCCGCTCGCCCACTCAGCCCGGTCCCCCGCGTGCATCCTGTGCAGCCAGGCCCGCGGGCCAGCAGCTGAAGTGCCCCAGCGGAAACCATGTCCCCAGCCCCAGGCCACAGCAGGCCAGCCCCGTGAGCCCGGGTGCAGGGCTGAGGAAAGCATCGATCGCTTGGGATGAGGACTCAGGCCGGGGCAGGGGGCACGCACAGGGTCAGAGGCCAAGGCCCCAAGCCCACCCACCAGCGCCCTGGCTCAGCGCTCCTTCCTGCCTCGGCCTCTGCTCAGCCCCTGGTACGGCTGGTCTGCTCTGAAAGGCCACTTGGGGACCCAGGAGCTATGGGGTTGGTCGGCCGAGCTGGCCCAGCACCCCCCATGCACCCGGCCCCGCCGGAGGTGCTGGACACCCAAGGTGCTGAGGGGCAGCCCCCAGCCAGCACCGGGAGGAGCCGCGCCACAGACAGATGGCCAGGCCGCCCCGAGTTGATTTTTCGAGGTGAAGAAACACGGGGCTGCACAGCTCAGATGCGGAGGCGATTAATCCAAGATTAAGGAAACCTGCCCAAACGGTCCATCTCCCAGCAACGAGGCGCGTCACAGTTTCGGGGCCCAGTGAATGGAGCGATTGTTCAAACACAACAGGGAGACGTGGCGCCCGCACGAGACGGAACGAGCATCTCAGGAAAATGAAGGAGCAATTTAAAAGCCTCGGGAGAAAATCAATAGATGCCGGGGCGCGAGCCTTCCTGCACGCCGGGCCGAGCTCCACACCATTGTCACCGAGGCCAGCGCCCGGGAAGGGAAAATTGCCGGCGTGCGAGGGAGGCAGGATCGATACGCAGTTAGCGAGAGACGCTATTTCACATGTGGCTGGCCAGCGCCGCGCGGCCGAAGCCCAGGCCCGTGTTAACAAGCCGCCGCGGCCAGCAGCAGGGCGGCCTTCGGGGCTGACACGGAGCAGGCGCTCGAGTCTCTGAGTGCGAGCCTCGGGGGCCTCGCCCCACGGATTAGTGGGTCAGGACCCTCCCAGGTGTCAGGCTGAAATCACGTGTCTCTTGTGACGAAGGGGAAAAGCCCACGGGTGACGGCAGACACGGCTGGGCTGGGACCCTCCGGCTGACAATGCCCCGTGGACGCGGCTCCCAGGCCCTGGCCAGTCTGCGCATGTCTACGTTTCGCCCAGCAGTGACGGCCACTCTGCAAGTCGCCAGCCAGGCCTGCTGCTCGGGGCCCCGCTGGGCCAGCGGCCGCCAGCCTGCGGCATGGCACCTACACAAGCTGCGCCTCTGGACTGTCCTAAGAATAACTCAGGTGGCTGAAGCCCACTGGACAGAAAATGGGGGGCCCCGACGAGGACCCCAATAGAATACTGTGCACGCCTGCCCATCTGCCCAGACCTGCACTCACGTGGCCAGGAACCCAAACCCAACCAGCCAGCCGGCGGCAGGCGGCGCCCGCTCACGCCTCCGTCAAGAGCTGCAGGAAGACGCCCCACCAGAAGCCCGAGCATGCTGTGAGCCCCCGTGGGCAGTGCACCCCCCAAACAACCAGGCTGGGGGTAACAGGGGACCCCGCAGACTCCAAGGGGCTGCGTGGGTGACTCCGGGGCCCGCCCGCCCGCAGGCCTACCTGGGCGCTCGGCCTGCCTCTGCAGCTGCTGCCTCTGCTCCCGCGCCCGGTCCTCCGGGTCGAGGGGCTGCCCGGCATCGTCTCTGGGGATGATCTTCCCGTGGAATGGGCACTGCAGCAACAGAGAGGCCCTCAGCCCTCTCCAGTCTCTGCGGCCCTCGGCTCTCGGCCTGCAGCTCACCCCACTCCGGCCATGCCGGAGGGTGTTGGGGTGCTGCCTCAGGAGCCAGATGGAGGGGCGTCTGGCACCTGGTTCCACTGGGCTGAGGCCACCGCCCTCCTGCCCCAGGCCCCCCCAGAGCAAGTGAGGACGCGCCACGGAGCGGGAGAGATGCAGGGACAAGCGCGGCACCCGGCACTGGGGGCCCGGGAGGAGGCCGGGCACAGCTCCGTGGTCAGCAGCCGAGAAGCCGGCCAGCCCTCCCGGAGCAGCCTCGGGCCCCAGGTGCCAGCCCAGCGGCCCAGGCGCCGTCGTGGTCCCGCTCACCTTCAGCCGGTCCTGGCGCTCACAGAGCTGGCCGTCCGGCCTCGGGGCACGGCACCGGTGCTGCACGGGCTCGAACGTCCCCGCGAAGGCGATGCGGCGGGTCCGGAGCCCCTCGAGCGCGCGGGCGCAGTCCACCTCCGTGTCCACCTCACTCGGCTTCCAGAAGCGGTGCTGAGACTCGGGTCTGCAACGTGGGCGGAGGACATCAGGGCTGCTGCTGGGGGCAGGGCCGGTGGCCCGAGGAAGGTCCCAGAGACTCTGGGCCTGATGACAGGCCTCACAGCGCCACGAGAAGGTGCCCGAGCAGCGAGGGCACGAGCCGCCCCCACCCCGCCCACCTTGGACCTGGACCCGGAAGGGCGGGCAAGGCTGGTGTCCCACGGGGCATGCTCCCCACACAGGTGCCACCCCTTCGTCTGCGGTGCCACAGGGATGAAGCGGAGGCCAGCGCAGCCAGGGGGTGGCTGCTGGAATTCTCTTGCAGAGCTCAAGGCCACACAGAATCCCAGTGAGTCAAAGCACAAGATGGTCGTGACAGGTGACCGTGACAGAACTGCACGATGCCCGAGTGACTGGGAGGACGGGACGTCTCCCCAGGGGGCAACAGAGCTCAGGGGACGCTGGAGGCTGCTGGGCCCGGCCCTTGCGGCTGCGTGTGTCTGCCGGGTGGCGGCAGGGTGCAGGGCGGCCCACGGGAGCCACGGACGCGCCTGGACTCACCTGTGGACCTCCCCGGCCTCCGGCTGCTCCTGGCCCCAGTAGCACAGGTCGGCCCCGAAGGGCACAACGGGAGCCCGGGCCCGCTCTGCCGCCAGCCTCCCAGCTTCCTCTGGCTCCAGGGCGGCCCTGCAGAGGTCAGTGAGACAGCGCGGGACGCGGTGACCGTGCCCCGGCAGCCACCGCCACCCACCTCCACCTCTCCTCTCTCCCAGGCACGGACCCGGGTCGCACACTTGAGCTGTGACTAAGAGGCCCAGCCCTCGCTGTCCCCGGGGAGCTGGCACTTCATCTGCGGTCCCCACCCTGGGCCTGGGGTGCGCTGACATCCTCGTTCCCCCAGATCCCAGAGCCTTGGGCCCCTCCCGAGCCCTGGCCAACGGGCAGCACCTCTGCCCCACACGCCCTCTGGGACCCACACCTGGGGCTGCCTTAAGGAGCCGCAGGGGCACGGGGCTCAGAGGTGTCACCTGGGGCGCGGGGGTGGGGGCGGGCGGCCCCGGAGCCACTGGAGCTGGGAGGCTGCAGAGGTGGGGTCGCAGGCCTCCTCGTCCATCCTCGTCCTCATCCTGGCCTGCGGGCCCCGTGCAGCCTGGTCCTTCTGCGGCCCTGGAACAGAGGTGTGTCTGGTGCTGACCCGGCCGGCTCTGGGGACACTGCTCCCACCCACGGGGTGGCCAGGCGCTGACCGAGTGGCTAGGGTGCAGCCACGTCAGTGCGTGAACCCCGCACTGGCCCAGGGCCGACTCCACGTAGCACCTGCCCTGCTGCCCACCAGACGAAGCCCAGACACTGGCAGCTCAGCGACACCCCGCAGAAGACTGTCACCCCCACAGGACTGGGGCAGGACGAAGGCGGCATCTGCCCACACCGGAGCCCGCTGCACACCCACGGCTCCGGGAGCCAGTGCAAGGTGAAGGGCGGGGGCGGGGACACAGTGCCAGGAGGCAGTGCCAGGGATCGTCGGGGGCACGTGGTCACGAGGGACCTGCCTGGTGGCCGCCGGGACCGCCAGGGGCAGGGGTGGGGGGCAGAGGCCACGTCCTCCCCACAGGTCCCAGAAGCAGGGACAGGCGGCGGTGTGGGGACAGCTGCAGGAGCCCTGGGAAGGAAAGGCCTTGCTGAGGGTCAGGGAGAGGACGGGCAAGCCAGGGCGCCCTGCGCGGGAGAACGGGAAGAAGCCCGGGAAGCTGCCGCAGGGGGCCGGCGCGCGCAGACCAGCGTCGGTCCCTCTGTCTGTCCCTCCGGCACTGCCGTGAGGCGTGGGAGGGCCGACTGAGGCGCAGGAGGGGCCGGTCCACCTGCGCTCTGCCCAACTCGGTGGGCAGCGGCAGCACCCAGCCCACCCGGGACACCCTTCCTGAGCTACACATACGTGGCCAGGCGACCAAAGCAAGTCCTGGGCAGACAGAGTCCTTCTGAAGACCCAGCAGTGCCCAGACTGTGTCCCCAGCCATGGGAGGTCAGAGTGGGCAGAGCAGAGAGTGGCCGGGATCCCAGATGGGGTACTGACCGGCGCAGCATACTTCACGCCCGCACACGCTGCCTGAATGCTGCCCCACTAGGCACACCTGTCCGTCCACCCATCCGCCTGCAGGCCCACGAAGGACACGTGACTGAGCGTGACGGGGACAACCCCCACTGAGCACTGGATTCAAGACGAGCTTCCCAGGCAAGTGGGAAAGTCACAACTCGAAGGGCCTGCTCGGGCCGATGCCACCAGTGCCCGGCAACCAGAAGGGTCCCCTCGGCCTGGGGCGTGGCCTTGCCCCGCAGGTCAGCCTGACACACCCCACCCCACGTCCTAGCCGGGGCTGCACCTGCCTCTGTGCGTGCTGCACGGCCACACGCAGGACAGCGGGGGGGGGCAGCGGCCACGGACGCCACACGTGCCCACACGCCGAGAACGTCCCGTGCAGGCTTTCGCAGGAAACAGCTGCCCACGCCGGCCCCAGACGCCCCACGGCCCTGCACGCTGCCGTGTGAGCGTGAGGGCCCCCCTGGTTCTTGGGGTCCCCTGCTGAGTGCACGGAGCGTCAGAGGTGACCAGGTCCACCTCTGGCCACCTGAGCACATGGGCTCTGAGGCCCTGGGTGACGCGGAGGGAGCCTGTGACGGACACAGGGTCACAGGCCCCCCTCACGGGAGGCCCAGTGCTCTCCCAGCCACCGCAGCCCCGCACGCACGCGCCCCACGCAGGAGGCGCGGCTGATAAGTGGGCGCTGTGGCGGGGAGACGGATGCAGTCGCAGCCCAAGGATCGATATGAGAATTCCTAGGAGTTACAAGAATGAAATATATTTTTCATTGATTTGTTGTTTTAAACCATTAAAAAGATGGGTAAGCGTGTTGGAGCGAGGTGAGTGCTCGGGGCGGGAAGCACCCCGCATGTCACACTGCTGTAGAGAATCGATCTCGCTGACGTACTTTCACAGCGAAGACCCCCAAAGCGGCCGGCGCCCCTCAGCCAACGTCCCCAAGGGGGACAGCGGCCCGCGCCCGGCTCCGCCGCTGCCATCTCACCGCCCGTGGGCGCCCGGCTACACCGGGTCTTGGCGCAAATTCGCTGCCACAGCCGCTTTTAGGACGAATGACAGAAACGTCCAAATCCCCTTCCAGTGTAAACTGAGCAAGCGGCACCTCTGCAGGAGCAGACAGGGCGGGAGGCGGATCGATCGGGAATGGAGAGCCTGGGCTCCCGCAAAGTTAGGCTCCTGCCTGACACGATTGATTCTACCTCGTTCAGCTGGCCTTGTAATTAAAATGTAAATTTGAGAAAGAGATTATGTCCTGACAGAAACGGCAGGATTAGGGGAAGATAAAAGCCCCTCCGTGCAAACTCAGAGGGAGTGAGTGCGCGGGGTT